ACTGTGTGACATCATCACCTCAGTCAGTGTTTGGGAACTGAGGACACTAACTGTTGAAGTTTATCTGACTTCAGTGTCTCAACAGTCCCATGATGCACCTCTCCGAGGTCGACGCTTCATCATGCTCCACACATGTTCAGTGGGAGACAGGTGTGGACTGCAGGCAGGTCAGTCTGGTACCTGCACTCTGTCACTACGGAGACACGCTGTTGGAACACGTCACAATGTGTCTCACTGTCTCGCTGGAAGAAGACGGGACGTCCCTGAAAGAGACGGCGTCTGGACGGCAGCATATGTTGCTCCAAAACCTGGATGGACCTTTCAGCATTCATGGAGCCTTCACAGGTGTGACGTTACCCATGATGCACCTCAATCCATCACAGCTGTTCCTGAGTCCCTGTAGTAATATCCTTTATACAGTCTGAGGGGTCAAAGGTCACGGACAGTCGGCCTTGTCCCATAACAGTGAAGTGATTTGTTTCTCTGCAGTCGCCATGAATCAAGACGACTCCTGCAGACACACAGTGCGCTGGTTTGGGTGCTCTAAGTATTTGTATTCTAATATTTTGTAGTTTTACTGGAGTATTTTGAATGCTGGACTTTGACCTGTAACAGAGTCTGTTTGTACTGTGGGATCACTACTTTCACTGAGGAGTATTTCTTCCACCTCTCATTATCAGCTGTTTGGTGTCTTTGTTTTTGAACAATATCAGCTGTAAATGAAATATTGAGCCCTGAGTATCGTCTGCAGGTGTTTACATCAGGTCACAGCTCCAGCAGCTCTGTTTGGATTTATGTTGCATCAGATGTAAATGATATAATCTGTGATGTAGAATAAAGTTGTGCGGTTTGGAATAAACCTGGAAACCTGGAGTGTGTGTGTGTGTGTGTGTGTGTGTGTGTGTGTGCAGCTGAGTGCGATGAGGCCATAGTACTCTGTAATCCCATCAACACTGAGTTAGTGACGAGCTAACAGCATTACACCACTTAGCCCTGTGTGTGTGTGCGTGTGTGTGTGTGTGTGTGTGTGTGTGTGAAGGGGATTTTTATTGAGCCCCCCCCCCCTCCTGCAGTCGTGACTCACCAGCAGCTTGTGTGTCTTCATGCTAAGCTACACTCGGCTAACACAACAGAACAGAAACAGTGTGTGTGTTTCACAGCAACAGCGAGCTAACAGGCTAACAAGCTAACAGGCTAACAAGCTAACAGGCTAACAAGCTTGTGTCGTCAGTGACGCCGTCATCATTCATCAGCAGCCAATACCTGAGCTGCATCTGAAACAACCTCTTTGTGTGTGTGTGTGTGTGTGTGTGTGTGTGTGTGTGTGTGTGTGTTATCTGAGACACAGTGAATTCTGGAAGTCTGTGTGTCCTTGTATAACAGCTCAGTGTGTAACAGCAGCCTCTGTT